GCTGGTGGTCGGCCTGCTCCGTCTCTGCCGCTTGCCAGCTACGCCTCGGCCGGCGCAGGGGGCGGAACCACGCATGCGCAGCGCTCCCGGGCAGGGAAAGTCCTCGACTTACGACCGGTTGGGTAGTCCTCGACTTACGACCGGTTTAGTCCTCGACTTACGACCGGTTGGGGTCGCGGCATTAAAAAGGTTGAGAACCCACTGAGTTAGAAGTTGGCTTCTCATGTGTAACAATTTTGCTTAAATAGAGGGAAGGCCAAACACACCTTGCCCAAACTTCAGAGCCTCTTTAAAAATAGCTGCTGGTTTATAATTTTCAGTAAGATAGAGCCATGATGATTAAAGGCATGAGAATTAATTATGGTTGACTTTTTGACTTAGCAGTTTGGAATACTCTCTTTTCAATAGAAACAACAAAAAACGTGTGTTCCTCTGCTTAGAATGAGAGTGATCTTCTGTGGAAAAGAAACTTACATTTAGATTGTATAATTATAGTGGATATAGTGCAAGGTACTCCTAGAAAAATATCACTTTTTAAATATTTGTGTCATCTAGGGAGAGAAGAAATATATAGAAAAGCAGCTGTGTATGGGGAAACCCGTGTTATATGGTAGTTAAGATACTGACTAGACATAAAGAGATCCTGGTTCTAGATGAGCCAACATAGTTCAACGTACTTCACATGGTGATTGTTATGGGAAAATTAGTAGAGGGCAATGCTTGGGACATAATTTTATCTATTTTATTTATTTGTCACATTTACACAGCTACTCATCTCACATAGTGGCTCTAATGTTAACACCTGAAAGAAAAGCCGAATATCAATTAAATAAATAAAATATGATGAAGTCATCTATAAATTATAACTGATTTAATTCCTGATATTTTATTTAGGATCTTTTATCAAGAATCGTTGACAGGATTCTTCAAGCTGGACATAATAATAATCAAGCATCAGTAAAGTATTTAATAGAGTGGAATATCATTCTGATTTTACACAAGTTTCCCCATTATCTTGAAAAATTCTGGAATTGCTTTAATTATGTGAGTAGCTATAGTCAAATATGAATGAAGTACAAATAAAGAATGGATTATTTTTATAAAAAATGCATTCAAGATTATTAGAAAATATACTCCATTGAGTTATTACTATTGAAAATATATGCTGTATTAGGATAACAGTAGTTAAGATTCAGTATTAGGAAGAGAATAATTATTCTTATTAGGCTCAATATATTTTTACAAATTGAGAAATAATTGAGATTAATACAGAACTTATTTTTCAGGATGAAGATCAATTTAAAACTAGCATTTGCACATTTTTAGCAGTCCTGTCACATTTTGACATAATTCTCCAGAATAAATCTGAAAAAGTAAGTGCTTTTGTTTGAAACTAAAAAAGTTTATTATAGAAAATAAATCCTGTTATCTGCTCTTGGTACAATCCAGATGAGAGTATTATAGTATGTTTATATGAAGTTTTCCTTGAACATCTCTAAACCCATCAAAGATCTGTTTGGTCTCAATATCTAATCAAGTATCCTGTTTCCTTCAGGGCCAAATAACATGGGAAATCTCCCTGTGTCAGTCAGTATGTTTGATAAACAACTAGTAAGGAGACAGTATAGGGTCATCATAGATAGCACCAGGACTGCCAGATCCTTTATTAATTTGCTTAATTCCATTTTAAACCTCTAATTCATTGCCTCTTAATACATCTGTTATATCTGTGCTGACATGAACAAATTATTTCCTTTGGCTGATAGAAAATATGATATATATATATATATTAAATATGAACCATTTAACTGTTGTGTGAATCCAACATTTAATAGGTTTCCCCCCCCCAGACATTATCATATATCCCAGTACCATAAGTACTTAAGATTTTTAAAGACAGTATTAATGTATTCAATTTTTACGGGGCCAGTTCATCTACATTCATGGCAGTTTATGTGAATTTTATTTTTTATATCTTCCTACTTTGCTGGGTAGAGTCAAAGATTAAAGTATGTTTCTCTTTCTCTAGATATCAGCCTTGAAGAAAGCACTAATTGTTGTCCTACAGTGGTGTTTCCATCACAATTTTAGTATTCGGCTTTATGCTTTAATTGCACTTAAAAAAATTTGGGGAATGT